AAAGGGTTCGATGGCCTCGCGGTGTCCCTGCACTTCGTGCGCTTTGATCTCCGGTGCTTGAAAAGCGCAGACCGCCTGAGGGATGCCATGGGGCACTTCATCAGGTGGGACGTCGGCGGGCCACATCGCAAACTCAACTTCCTTCCTTTGCCAGCGCGGGAAGCTTCACCCTGAAGTCCCCGAAGACGTGCACGGCATCGTGGCTGTAGGTGGCGATGCGAATGAGCCGAACGCCCTGACCCCGGGGGCCTGTTATGTCGCCAAGCAGTTGATGGACATGAAGGCGTTCGCCGTTTGCGACGTTCACTTTATATATATATATACACGATGCCAGTGTTGAGTCCATAGCCGAGCTGGTCAAGACAGGGATTGTGGTTGAGAGGGAGAATACGGAGCTTGGCGATATGGGGTAATATGTCGATCCTACACGCGTCAGATGATGTGAGTGCGTTCGATGCGAGAGGTCCTTGCTCGATATGCGACCAGAAGACCCTGCGCCTCTCGGCCGAATGGATATGTTTCAATTGGTCAGAGCCCTCTTGCGCAAAGGCTGGGCGCCACAAATAGATGTGCCCCGGCAGCTTGTGCGAGGTGCCCATGTTTTTTTTTTTTTTTTTTTTTTTTGTTTGACAGACGTCGTGAATCAACCAAAGATGCACTGGCTTTGCTTAGCAAGGTCGGATGATATTTTGAACGGCAAGCGGATCTTGAATTCACCGACCAGCATGCGAAGGAGTCGTGCTACAAGTGCGTAGTGTACATCAAGGATCTGAGTAGCATCGTCGCTGTGGATGTGCCGAACACGTCGGACAGCGTCCTCAAGGAGAAATTCAAAGGGTTGAAGGGCGATGAGATTGTGGATCACTTCGAGGGCGACGACGGCCCAGAGCACGAGATGGAGGCGCCTGCGCTCCCGGACGCCGTTCCTGCGATTGCACCACTTCCAGCCTTGATGCCCGACGTGCATTTGCCCCCTGTGACCCACCGCGAAGATGGGAATGAGTATAAGCCTGTCTTCGATCATTTCACCCATCCTAGTGGACACAGGCGTGTCTAGATCTATTGTGGTTATCATCGTGGACAGTGCCGTCGATATCTTTTCTTCGCAACTTCGAAACGAGAACCACACCTGCGCTCATTTGATTGCTTGGGCGCGGATGGGCGCCATTATGATTCCCGACAGAGCGGCGAGGACAGAACGCACCTAGGAGTTCGAGCCACCCAAGGAGGAGGTGGCGCGCATTCGCGGCATCTTGGCCGCTTGAATCATGATAAAGATACGTTTGAGCCTTCGGCTTGAGAAATGTTGAATGGCATCATGCCGTGTCCACAGTATTCACGCGGCCACCCTCTGTCCCTTTGTCCACTCAGCCTAAATCCTACATGCCCCCAGCTTGCCTACCACGCGTGCTCGCCCGCTCCTTGACCCTCGCACTTGCAAGTCCTGATTGCCATTGCCACCACCACCCTCGCCATATCTGCCATCATCATCATCGTCACCACCGTCATCGCCCCCATAAAAGATCACCACCATCACCATCAGCATCGTCGCCACCCCACCATTCAGAAGATGAAGACCCTAAGCAATATCTGAATGCATTCTTGCTGGAAACACAAAACACCCAGGTGAACATATCACGGCTCCACGTCTGGGGCGTTATTGTATTTTGCGTGTCTTGTACTGCACATGGCTTGCATTGTGCCCCCCGCCCGTGCTGGGGATATTCACGCATGTTTGTAGAAGATCCCCAAAGGTTCGCTGGGCCCCCATAGGTGCGTTTTGAGAGCGTCAGCATGCACACACACATACACACCAGCAGATAACACAGCGGGGTGGCCTGAAGCCAGCTTGGGGGCCATCTTGGGACTAACGAGCGGCCATTTCGGCACAGAGGCTCCCCCGGGGGCACCAGACGACGACGACGATGAACACGTGCCGGCATCGTCGGTCGATTGATGTCCCGCCGCCGTCCCGCCGCTGTCCCGCCGCTGTCCCGCCGCTGTCCCGCCGCTGTCCCGCCGTTGTCCCGCCGTTGTCCCGCCACTGTCCCGCCGCTGTCGCGCCGTTGCCCCGCCGCCGTCCGCCCGGAATCGTCTTGGGACGTCGAGGCCCAGGGCGTGGTGCCCCCCAACAATGTTCCAGGGCCCCATGCACCAGGATCCGACACCCCAACTGCGAAATATGGTAGCTTACAGTTGCACGTAGCCAGTTTTGCGTCAAGCTTGAGTTCGGGCAGGGGTTTGAGCCGTACTTGTGCTGTATGTGATGTGCGATGGCTGGGTATGCAGCAGACGTCATCAGCATCTCTAGTGATGATTCTCATGACATGCACCCCACGCTCGAAGAGATGACGTCGGGCCTTCAGACCGCGGGGGCAGCCCAGCGAGCCGAGATGGACAGAGACATCGAGAGGAACAGCGCTTCCGACGCGGTATACTTGTTTGCAGCGCCGGAGCCGCAGAGTAAGACGAGGATTCCCAGGACCAAAGTCAGGGCGGCTCGCCTCGGAGAGTGGGCACCAAAGTTACCTGAGGTCTTGACTAGAGAGAGCTTCCAGACGAGATATCCCCCCACTGTCGAGCCTCGCAAAGTTTGAGCGACAGTTCCGGATGCTATAACAACCGTGGCGAAACCGAACGTCTTAGGCATCGTGTGTTCGCCAGCGATTTTACCACCTGTAGTCCGCAGAGGTGACTAGGGCCAGAGAGAGCTGTCACTCGTTTTTCTGAGCGCGGCGAGTGCGCACAGGTGAGTGTCCAAGCTATGTGATCAGCTTCAGTTCTTCGCCCCTCCCTCGTCCTCGCGCGCCTGTCCCGTCACCTCCCTCTTCTTAGTCCTCTTGGAACTTCCACCTATCCCCCCCGCGCGTTCCCTCTTGCCCTGCCCCCTGCATTCCCCCTCGCCTCCGCCTGAGACGTCCTCGCAACCGAGCCAGGGAAAGGCTTTGGGACCTTAGGCGTCTTGGGGCCGTGGGCGTCTCGGGGCCGTAGGCGTCTTGGGGCCTTAGGCGTCTCGGGGCCCTGGGCGTCTTGGGGCCTTAGGCGCCTTGGGTCCTGGGGCCCTATGGGGCGCGGGGCGTCTTGGGGCCGTTGGCGTCTTGGGGCCTTAGGCGTCTTGGGGCCTTAGGCGTCTTGGGGCCTTGGGCGTCATGGGGCCTTGGGCGTCTGTCCCCATTTGAAGCTTCCTCGCAACTGAGCCAGGGGGGGGCATGGAGCCTTGCGCGTCTATATCAGTATACATTTATACCATGACACTTCGACGTGCCTCCGGGATGTCCAAACCGAAATTCGCTGCTGGTAGCCATTTGGCCTCGCGGTTCCGAGGCACCACATGCCAGGGTGCGAGATCTCCAGAGGATGGGGTTCCCTGTCTTGGACCCCCTCCCACTTCGCTTCGACAGGGCCGGGCTGGCCCGGCCGTCATTTCAGTTTGCGCGGCGGCAGGCCATATCAGAACCATGTGCAGGCATTTTCAGTTCTCATGTGTCTCTCAGCGAGTGGGGCGTCAACTACGTGCCACTGAATGTATTCGGCAAGATTGAATGCTGCGGGGAATTGTGGAAGCACTGTTTCGGCGAAGATCTCGCGAACCAGTTCCGTTGCGGTCGAGAAGGTGACTTTTTGCAATCTCCCCTTGCTGGACTGCAGGTTTGCGACGGGCTCATAAGGGGCCCCCTTGCCCCCCATGGGCTGCAGGCGGGAAGCGCGAGGGCTTTGCATATTCTCCCAGCCACGTCTATGACAGACTCGTCGAGTGGATCGTGCACCTGGCATTGCGAGGTCAGCTACTCTTCTTCGCTCTAGAGAATGCCGCGGGCATTTTTTCAATGGCGTCAGCATCAGGTGCAGGCTCTCAGCGTTACGTCGACAAGGTGACGAACGAGCGCGTCCTTTTCTTCTCTGTGACGTACTACGTGGTAGATACATCGACATTGACGCCCCAGAGGCGCATGCGCTGCTGGGTTACCGGCGTCAGGAATGATGTTCTTCGAGGGCGTCCCATTCCCACCCCGCTGCCGATTGAGCGGATCCCGAGACCCATCTGGCGGACTTGCTCAACCCAAATGTCCAGAACATACACCCGGTCTCTTTGGAGCCTCGGCTCCTCAAGAACCTCGCCGACTACACGGGTGTACTCCTCGACCAGGTGCGCAACGAGAAGTGGAGCAGGGCCATGGTCGTGATCTTCGACTTGGATAGAGGCTTCGGCAAAGGGTGGAAGCCAAACATCGCCCACGACGAAGCGCCCGCCTTCACCACCAAAACTACCAAATTATTCGTGGCGAGCCTGACCGACCTGGACATACACCCGCTCGATCGGATGCACCACCGTCTCCTGGCTCCTCAAGAGAGGCTCGCCGTGCATGGGCATGGGCCTGCAGTGGCGCAGTTCTTGACCGAGTCGGCGCTGGTTAAGGCGTGCGGCAATGCCTTCCCTGTGCCGATGGTAGGCGCCGTGGTCGTGCCCATCTAGGAGATTATTCAGGATAGTGGGCTGGTGCAGGAGGGCCGTGCTACACGCCTCAGTCTACACGAGTTGCAGGCGCTTGCGTAGCCTATTCAGTCTACGAGAGCTGCGAGCTCTCGTGTAGCATACTATGCGCTCCAGGCTGGTCGGTGCATTTGTTTTCCCAAGCGGTGGTGTCTCCACTGCGCCTGGGACTCCTGGGCCGACTGCTCCTCGATATTTCTGGTGGTCGCCCATTGCGACGCCTCTCTTCATAGTTGAGAACCTTGCGTGACCAAGGCCCCCCCATGGAACAAGTAGGACACCTGTCTGGGGAAACGACCACGACGACGCCACGATCGCGACAAACGCGACGACGACGGCGACCACGAGACGACGCGACGACGACGCGACCCAGCACACGAACCATGACGCGACCACTACGACGACCACGACGTCGCCTTTTCTGTGAGCTCTTTGTGTTCCGTAAGCCATTTGGGCTTAAGTGGATTTCGATCTCAGACTCCACGACTCCACGGCCGATGCACCGCCGATGTCCGCAGACGCCGCAGGCTTTTCGACGGATGGTGCGGGCGCTGCCGCCAGCGCCCACGAGCAGTTTCTCTCTCTGACGTGCATGAGGTGCCAGGAGCCGACCACCATGGCGGACTCCTACCCCTCGGGGTTCGCGAAACCCAATGCGCAGGATATGCGCGATCTGTAGTAGCACAGACAGGGCGGCAGCCAGGCGCACTGCTGACTTCAAGAAGAAGAAGGAGTCGAAAGTGCCGCTGGCTAAGGACGACGTGAACGTGAAGGCGAATATCAACAAGCTGTCCCCGGACGAGAGAGTGGATTTCTACCGCGCCGAGAAGGTCGATGGGGGCCTGAGGGTACGAATGCATGCGCGAATCAAAATCAGAGTTCTAAGAGTGCTGGCTCCTTGGTTTTCGGTTCGATCTCCGACTTTCGTTGAGGGGGGGGGGGGGGGTCGATGCGATCGTGCCCTTGACGCTGCGATCGTAACATGAAGGAGGAGCAGAAGGCCAAGGATGGCCCCGGCAATGCGAAGCGCAGTTTCGTGGGCGTCAAGGGCTCCATCGAGCATGGCAAGGTGGAGTCCTTGTCGCGCGACGAACTGAACACGTTCGAGACGTTTGAGGACTGCGCTTTCAGGCAGATCGGCCTGGAACGCTGTGAAGATGAGGAAGGTGCAAAGCGCTTGTGGCTCCAAGCCTTGAGCGATCCTGAGAAGCAGAATATTAAGATCCGCGGCCAGTGGCTGCTCTGGAAGTTCGGCGGCAGCAACGCGCGCAACGCGGTGTCCGACGTGTTGAGGAACGCCTTGACGCAGGCGCAGATGATCGGCAGCAAGGATGGCCTGGATGAGTTTCTGAAAGGGAGCAGTGACCTGCAGGCGCGTCGCGAGAAGAGGATCAAAAAGGACTTCCAGGTTCAGGCCGGCGCCTCGGAGCCAGGGGCCGAGGACTTCGACGTCGAGGGTGGCGTGGCGCTCGACGACGGAATGATCAGCGACAAAGCGGCCATGAAGACGATTTCCGCGCAGCTCATCAACAAGGCCAAGGATTCGGCCGACCAGGAGAGGGGCATCATCCAAGCAGCGCAGGCCCAGGCGCAGGCGAAAGGACCTGCTGCACCTGAACCATCTCCGGCCAAGAAGCCCAAGACGTCAGTCTTTGTGGCAAAGATGGGCCTGGAGCCCACGGTCACCGCCCAGCGCGCCCACGTGGATAACAAGGTCGAGACGGCCAAGGAGAAGTTCTACTCAGAGGCGACCGACGGTTTGAAGTGTTATGTGGGCGAAGACGGGAGGGCGGAGTTCGAGGATATGACAGATGTTTTCGACCAGAAGTTCGATGGGTATGCCCAGCAGGCCGAGAAAACGGATAATGATATCAAAGCTGCGTTGCAGAATCTGACCGCCGACCTCGACGCGGATGCCATCCTCGACAAAAGAGCAGAAGTGATGGCCGTCGCGAAGGCTTTCGCTGAGGCTGAACATGATCCCGTCGAAGACATCGCGAACGCCGTCGGCGCTATGATCGCCAATTTCAAGAGCTACGCCAAGAAGGCCAAGGAGGCGGCAGAGAAGAGGGGCCAGGATTAGAACCAGCACCAGCAGCATAATAATGGTTTAGTGGGCACCCCGGCCAGGTTCCCGTCGCCTCTCACGCTTGCGTTCAAGGCTTGCTGCGAGTGCCCTCACAAGCGACGTCTTCGGGCAACGGCATCTTCTGTAACCCGCGGAAGGATTTCCTGGATGATGGCCGCGCGGTCGTGGCCCCTTCCGAGAGGACGGCAGAGTGCGTCAAGGCGATCGCCGACATGGGGCTTTGCAAGTCACAGAAATCTTGGGTCATGACGGCGATGTCCAAGACGACTCTGGACATGAGCGCCGCATACATCGTCAAGGAGGTTGCCGAGAAGATCGTGGGAAAAAAGGCCTTGCAGAGGTCATCGATGTCCAGTTGCGCCCAGGTCAGATGCGCGAGGATTGCGAGTGGCTGACGGACCTCACTACAGCACACTTCTGCAGCATTCGAAGGATTTGCATTCGATCTCCAACGCGCCCTTCTGCATATCGCAGGTTCGCTTCGTCTTGGAGGGCGAGGTCGCGCTGGCGGGAGTCCCGATCGACCACGTGGCTGCCGACGCGCTTGTGGCGAAGCGCGCAATGCTGATGAACGTGAGTTTGACCGACATCTTCAACCTTGTCCACACGAGCGGTGGCGTCGCCGCCAAGCTCAAGCCTGGTTCGACCATCTTCCTTCCCGGGGACTACATGATCATAGAGGTCTCTCTTGGCGGCGGTGAGGTGCATGGCTTGTGCTGGTCTTGGTTGGATTGGCGAAGCTGGCGCCGATGTGCCTGCCAAATCTCGGCCAGTTCCTGAAAGAGAACGCCAACCAGAGGAAGAGCCCCCGCACCGACTTAGAGCCGCAACTCCAGCATATCAAGGACTCGGAGGATCAGGGGGTGCTGCCAGGGTTGCGAGGTCATCGGTCTTTGGAGTTGAGTCGAGGTGGCCCAGCACAGGGTAGATAGCAAACGAGGGTGCAACATTCGCTGGAGTAGTCATGTTGCGGACGTTGTCTCGTGAGTTCGGAATGTTGACGCTTGGAGTGCGAGGGCCCGCTCTGGGGTGGAGGAGGAGGAGGATAGGGGGGCCGAGCAGGAGGAGGAGGGCGAAGAGGAGGAGAAGGAGGAGGAGGAGGAGAAGGCGGAGGAGAGACCCAAGCCTCAGCGAGAGCGTGCGAGCGCGGTGCCTGGTCAGTGCTGGCTGGACCCAGGCGCCAGAGACACGAACGAGGGCTTGAGCACGAGCCAGGAGTTAACGAGGTACCACGTAGGAGGAAAAGGCTGATACTTCCCCGCGGCTGGGCCAGGGAACGGCCTTGGGGCCTTTGGCGTCTTGGGACTTCAGGCGTCTTGGGGCCTTGGGCGCCTTGGGGCCTGGGGCCATATGGGGCCTGAAGCGTCTTGGGGCCGTAGGCGCCTTGGGGCCTCAGGCGTTTTGGGGCCTTAGGCGTCTTGAGGCCTTCGGCGTCTTGGGGCCTCGGGCCCTATGGGGCCTGAGGCGTCTTGGGGCCGTGGGCGTCTTGGGGCCATAGGCGTCTTGGGGCCGCAGGCGGCTGGGGGACTCGGGCGTCTTGGGGCCTGGGGCCCTATGGGGCCTGAGGCGCCTTGGGAGCTCAGGCGTCTTGGGGCCTGGGGCCCTACGGGGCATGAGGCGCCTTTGGGCCGTAGGCGTCTTGGGGCCTTAGGCGCCTTTTGATGCCGTGCTATATGTATGCCTACGTCTTTCTGCTCAAGGTCTTAGCATCGTCGCTTTATGGTAACGGAGCGGACGTAATTTGTGGCCAAAGATCGATGTGCGAGAAGTCAAAAAACTAGCCTTCCGTTGGCATTGAACAAAACGGTCTGCCTCCCCAAAAAACCTCTCCGACAAGGGGTCGCCGTAACAATTGGGGTCATACATGAATCCACGCTGGTTTCGAGAGTACGCGTTGCGCAAATGTTCGTGTGACGCGGCCGGTCTCGCGGATCGAGGGGCCGCGTTCATGTACATAGCTGGGCGCGTACGTCCTCTGTGGTCTCCCTATACTGGGAGTGAGGCTCGAAACCTTTCGGGGCTGGGCCTCCTTGATTTGCGACACCTCTCGGGCGCCTCGAGCCGTGGTGGCCCATGGGGCCGAGGCGACGCCAGGCGAACGCGCCCTGTGCGAGAGAAGGCAATGCGTGGATCTCAGGGAAGTCAAGGGGCCCAAGGACACACAACTACACACACACAAGTAAGATACTTCTTTATATCTTCAAATATTTCCTTGGTTTTTGTCTCCCCGCCCAATTCCAATATTTTCGTGTATTTTCTTGGGGATTGACGATTCATTATGTCTGTGTCTTGTTTCCCCTCCTGAGGAATGTCGGTTTCTTAGGCCATATTTGAGCGTCGGACGTCTGAAATGCCGGGAATCAAGGGCATAAAACACGCCCCTCCCCTGGTTTACGAGGCGTTGTGCGCTGAAGTTCCGCTGGGCTGACAGGGTAAGCCTTGCGTGACGTGCCGCGTCTTGGCGGCTCTCTAGGCTTTGGGGGTTCCCAGGAGCACTTGTAATCCAAGGTAGGGTAGTTTTTTTTCATCCTTTAATAGGACGCAAATCAAGGGGGGAAAAACCTTCCGGACCGGACAACAGGCGTTTTTTTTTTTCGCGGCCCTGGGCGTTTACTCAAGGCCCTGTTCGATTCCTTTTTTGGGCGCGTTTGCTAGAGGCCTCGCGTGTGGGGGCGGTGATTGTCGGGGTCGATGTTCGTCTTCGTCTATACTTGAGCGTCGGATGTCTGAAATGCCGAGAACGCAAAACACCAGCCGAAACCCTGAGGAATATTAGCGATGTTGGCAGCTCCGTGCCCTCCTTGGGTGCCTCGCGAGGCGCCTTGGGGGTTTTTTGGGCCGGGATCGGCGTCGGTGCCTTGATCGGGTTTTCCGTCTTTAAAACGTATCGGCAGACATGCGCCCCAAGCGGAGCGAACAAGTAGGGCGGAATGTCCCGCCTTAGAAAAGAAGGGCACACATTTCCGCGAAGGAACCTCATGAGGTCTGTAGGCTTGATGGACCCCCCCTGTTTCTCTCGGCGGGGAACGAACTCGCCCCTCCTCGTCCTCCTGCTCCTCCTCCTGCTCCCGTTGTCGTCGTCGTCGTCGTCAAGGCGGCGATTATTTCCCTCTATTTCTGGGAGGGCTGGATCATGTTAGGAGGTTCTTTCCCCAGGAATTAATCCACTGTGGGCTACCCTACACGCGGAAGTATCGCGAAGGCCTTACGGCCAGTGCCGCCGACCCTGAATGGCGACGACGACGACGACGACGACGACGAGCGCTCTTGGGGGCCTCTTGGGTGTAGTTGGTGGGCCTCCTGGGAAGCTCTTAGGGGCCGCTTGGAAGCCTCGTGGGGGCCTCTTGGGGCTTCCTGGGGGTCTCTTGGAGGGGGCCTGGGACGTCTTGGAGGCTTCTTGGACGGTCTTGGGGCTATCTTGGGCGTTTTCGGCTGATCTTTGGGCGACTCGGGGCCCTCTTGGGCCGTCTCGGGGGCCATCTGGGGCATGCAGACCTCATTTGGAGTGTTTTCGGAGTTCTAGGCCGCCCGAGGAAAAACTAATCTGCCCCCCCACCCCCCCGGGACCCCCCCCGGGACCCCGCCCGGGACCCCGCCCAGGATACCCCCCTCCATCTCCCCCGGGACCCCCCCCCCCGGGGAAGGGATCAAAGGGAAGGGGCTTCCCTTCGACTCGATTACGACACTACTCGATTTTTCTCTCGCTCACGAGCTTGAGAAGGAAGCTGCAGGGAAGGGGGACGACGGAGGCGACGACCGACGGAGACGACGACTCGAACCGCCAAGCCCCGCGCACACGCCGACAGGGTCGGCGGATTTGTGAGCGTTTTGAGAATCGCACAAGGGGTCAACTGTAGTCGTGACTGTAGTCATGGTTGTAATCGTGCTTGTAATATTGTTTGTAGTCGCGACTGTAGTCGTAATCGTAGTCGTGTTCGTAGTAGTCGTAGTCATGGTGGTCTTAGTGGTGGTCATCATAATCGTTGTCGTGGTCGTCGCCGCGATGGATATGATGTTCCTTCTCTTGCCGGACTGGGCGGATAATGTTGGATTTTTCTCCCAGGAAATAATCCACTGTGGGCAGCCCCACACGCGAGATAATGTGTGGGCAGATTCTCATGAACATTGCAGTAGGAATCAGTGGTTGTGCTTGTAGTCGTGATGGTAGTTGTGTTGGTAGTCTTTGTTGTCGCGATTGTAATGGTGACTGTAGTCGTGATTGTAATTACCTCAGTTGTGGTTGTATTCCGAATCGTAGTCGTAATCGTGATCGCAGTCGTAGTCGTAATAGCAATCGCAGTCGTAGTCTTCGTCGTTGTTGTGCGGAGAGTGCCGCGGATGAATAAGTATCTTCCATTATTGGTGGGCCCCGATCCGTCAAAAAGGTAGCGGGAAAGTTCATTTGTTTACAACTATGGCGGCAACAGCGACGGCAAAGTAGGGCATACATCGACATCCAAGGAGCTTGCATAGTTGGGCGGCAAATTCCGCCTTACTTGCAACATCGCCCAAGGCAGGGTGGGTCTGGGGTCAGGGTCCCGTCGGGTTCGGAAGCCAGGGCACGGAAGGATGCGAGAGGCAAGCTCTCTCTTCGTTTGGAGGCAAGGTTGGCAAGGGTGGGCAAAGGATAGCCGTGGCCCAGACGGGCGGCGTCCCCTCAGACCCGACGGCGCGGAAAAAATGAAGCACCGTGAAAAATCACGGCCAGAACCCTAGATCAAATCTTCTGCTGAAGTTTTCGAGCAGGATTGATCTGTGAGGTCCGTCCTGAGATCCAGCGAAAACGCCTAGCTCGAAAAAATCAAGAACGCCCGGATGTCTGGGCCTGGATCTCCAACCAGAGGGCCGACGGCACCCTGCGACGTGGTCGTCGTCGTGGTCGTCGTCGTGGTCGTCGTCGTCGTCGCCGTGGCCGTCGTCGTGGCCGTCGTGGTCGGCCCGCGTGAGGCGCTCCAGGAAGCGGCGGCGGCCCTGGAGCTGGCGGGCGC